AACTTTGACGACTTCGGTCTGGTAGTTCACTGTCTTGTAGCCATGTTTTGCTAGCACTCGTCTGGGGCATGTCCCGCATGACTGGCTCTCGTGTCCATCTCCGAGCAAGGTCACGGACGCGTCTGGCCTATCTGGCCAACCACTTCCCAAGGCCAGTTCACAGAGGACCTTAGAGTGGTGACTGCTTACGCTCAGACACTTCCGGAGCCGGCGACTTTAGGGTCGGTTGTAGACATCCGGACCCGGCGACTACACCCACCGGAATGCGACTCTGGACTCCGGCCCGCTCATGGCTGGACTGCACTAGTCTGGGAGTCACTTACGCATTACTCATATTCTACTCCGTCTATGCTCAATTATATTATTCCTAACACTACGGCCGTCCACGTCTTAGCATATCTCTTAGTTCGTAACCATTGGGATACGTTCTATTTTCTATTATTCGGCCGGACTATTTCGTATGCCAGTCTTTCCTTGAACTTTTCACGCACAAGGCGCTTGTTTACTACGGGAAACCAATCGGATCCTGATTGAATAAATAGCCGACCGGCAGCGCCAGGGAATAATGATCGGTGATGAGGCAGTGATGGACTTCACTTCGGTAGACCCTCTGCGTCATCTGTGTGCACACATGTTTTCTGTTTTCGGTCCCAGCGCTGGTGGTCAGGGTTATGCTTGGCTGAATGACGGCAAATAATCCGAAACCTTTCTGCATCAAGTTACTCTCAAAAGCTGTCGTCATTCTCTGTTATTATATCATGGCTGACGTAGGCTTGGCAGATGGTCGCCTGTTCGTCACTCCTACCACCCAAACCCGGTTTGTTTACTTCTGGATGGACAAACACCTGTTCCGCATTGGCAAAGAATAGAAAGGCGGGGGAGGAACTTGTGAACTTCGGTTCGATCGAGCGCTTATGACCCACTTGGTGGAGCTCGAGGGTGGAGCATCTACACCGTGCGTCTGTGCATGTTTTTTTGATCCCAGCTACTGGTCAGGATTATACTTGGCTGGGTGAAGGTAAATAACCTCGAAATAGCTCTCCATAAACCTACTCACATGCTCAGCCCGTCTCCATCTGTCACTTAAATATATGTTTACCACCGCAGACGATCAGCTCATTCCGAACCCTTCGTTCCTCTATTTTTAGTATATTTCAGTATATATAACGGAAAAAGACAGAGCCTTTAAATGGAGTTTTCAAAGGCTCTGCCTATCTCCCTAAGATATACTGAAATATACTGAATTATACTGAAAATCAAGAAACATAAGTGTATTTAGGGCATAAGAGCTACTATTGGCATAGGAAATGGGTGATTAATAGGTGTGCAAATAGCCTCTAGAGCTCATCTGTATAATATTAGCTTTGAATGGCAGAATTCTAGGCTCTAATTTTTTTTGAAAGCCAAACTTCATTCATAGTGTGCCTCTGTTATTTATGTCCAAATGCTTTGGTTCGTTAGAAAATCACATCTTCGATGAAGCTCTTGCAAATGCCCTATTGAACAAGAAAGAATACCCAAAACTCAAACCAATAACCGGTCTGCAGTATCCTATGATAATCTGTCAGAAATGATGCTGCTGTAAGCCACTTTAGGAATGAATTATGTCTTACTCGACAGAGGCGGCCATATAGGCCTCATTTTTGAAATTCGTATCAGAAGACGAAGTAGCAACAAGTTTTTCCAAATCCGGAGAGCCGGCTCGTCGTCTCTGTATCAACCATCGGGGCAGCATCTTCTCGCGAAAAGGCAGACTACGTGTTGAAGAGCCGCCGCGTATGCAGGAGCCGTTCATTGCAGCAGCTATGTTAACCTGGGAAACTGCACCGCAGGCATGGCAACGCAGTTTGACTGGCAGGTACTTCTTATTTCTAAAGTGGCCTACATTGAGTAGGCGTTTGATCTGTCCCCGTTTAACCAGCACGGAAGTTTCAATGGCATTCACATCCAGTTGACTCTTTTCGTGGAGAGGAGTCGCCGTGGGGTTAATTCGTGGGCCATCCTGTCGTCTCCTTGAAGCACTGCCAGCGGCCAGGTACCGGGAGCTGGCGCAACGTATGCATTCGTCTGTCGGCGGATGTGTACAACCGTTGCACTTTCTAAAACATTTAAAATAAAACACAACTCTTACTTTTGTGTCTTAAGTAGACTGTTATTTAAAATTAAATTATACAGTGGCGCATGTAAGGCTTTACCTTATCTGTTTATCCAGTGCCTGTAAGTCCATGTAGAGCTTGTTCACGCGTTCTAGCTTCTCTTCATAGTGACGACGAATATCCTGCGCATGTTGTAACTCTTGTTTTCGACGACGGATTAAGTCGTACTCGGTGCGTCCCGATCTCGGCTCATCAGGACGCAAATCCTGATAATTGCACAAAAAAGGAGAGAGGCGTTTGAGGATAGTAGTGATAACCCCTATTTGCACATGACTATGACTATGCTACCATTACCTACAATTAAGGATTCCCGACGGAATCCAAAACGCCAGGAAAATTAAACTCTTGTTCCAGTGGTCGCATCCTCTTCTTCTGAACTGCGTCCTGGAACTCGCATATTCTCCACTATTGGCAGTGATATCACGGTTAAACAACCTTGAGGCCGTATACAGTTAAGCAATAGTACTTCTTAAGACTACTTCAATAATAAACCCGTTTGCGGGTATGCCCTTTGAATGAGGCAAAGAGTGTAAACGGAGCTAATTTTTGGGACGGACGCATTCCATATAAATCACAATATTTTAGAAGAAGTTGTAGGGATGTCATGGCACGCCATCTGGTAGTTGAAGGTAGCAGCCTGGCCGCTGGTCTAAGCAATATCGTGATTGGTTACACGCATTTCAACCTACAGTCTGTGGATTGATAATTATTACAGCATTAACATGACAATCTGGTGACCAGTAGGCTGGTACGTGTGCACTTACACTTCTTTCGGGACTTGAGTCCCTCTAACCGACATAGACGGTCGTACACTGCTTGCAGCCATCTGAAACATAACTTTGTAGCATAGCGCATGCATCAGGTGGTAAGCGTGGTGGTTTTCTGTGCCTCGTAACTAACCCCGCCTCAGAGTTGTTCACCCTGAACTAACACGTCAGATACAGCCACGAAGGGGTACATTCTCTGAATACACTGCGATTACTCATTCTGCCTGCAGAAGCACGCACTGTGCGCATGACAAAAGTGCACCGCAAATAGTACAATGTAGGGTGGAGCACTGCAGTGCAGTGTGGGGGTG